GGAGCAGCCTCCAACATTGTACCACTGAGTCCGTTTTTTTGTTTGATGTTCGTAGTTTAAAGTACCTGGACTTCTCTTTAGCCTAAACATTTGAGACAGGAATTGATGGAGCTACATCTGCAATAAATATCACTCCAGGGAAAATGTGTGTCCATCAGCATTTCTAAGAAGCTAAATCAAGAACTAGTATTTTATAGATCAGCTAAGAAAACTGCTGTGGTATGATAAATTGAGAAGAACTTTTACCACAAACAGTGGGTAATGCAAAATAGATGTTTTAATGTTTCAGGCTGGGATGCTCTTCCTCTGATGATTTTAAAAGTTTAAACATTAATAGAGGAAGAGTGGCTCAGTCCAAAACATTGTGAATATTAAAACATCCATTTTGCATTAGTCATTTCTCATTGTATAAGTTTTCCACTTTTTTTTTTTAACTATTCTTTGGTTGTTACCTTTCCTCTGCGAGACTTGACATCTTCCGGTATATTAGGTTCCATGATCTTTCTCTATGTGAAAATTCAACATCTGACACTCAGTCCTATTTCTCTTGTACTCCGTGACATCAGCTTCACCTGCCTGCTAAAAGTGATTTGTAAGAGTTCGTAACCGATGTATTGATACTCTTTGAATCCAGGTTCGTAGGATAAAGGAAGATAAAGTTTCAATTTGTAAGAGTTCGTAACTGATATATTCGATACTCTTTGAATCCAGGTTCGTAGGATAAAGGAAGATAAAGTTTCAGATCAGTTGGAGAACCTTCTTTCAATGTTCCACTTGGAGTCTTTCATGGACATATTTATATCAGCACATATATTTGTAAATGAATCAGTATTTGTTTTTACAACATCCATGGATTTCTCTTCTGTTTACAAAGTTCTTAGTCTGTCTTTTTCCAAGCTGGCATGAGAGATCGGTGAAAAAAAAAATTTCAATGAATTTAAAAGATTTTCATTATCAAGTTGCATGCGGATGCATCCTTGTCTTCCAACTTTTTTTTTATGTGACTGTAATATGTCTTCAAAATTATCATACGTAGCTTCAGCCACACACACGGTACCTTTTTGTCTTTCAGTGTGTAACTAGATTACACACCAACTCTCTTTAGAAACATGCCAACCTCATCATCCTTGCCAAGTACAAATTTTGAAAATCTTCTTCAGTATCTGGATACTTTATTAAAAAGTTCTTCAAATGTAGAAACGAACTTACTGAGGTACGACGCATCATCGTTCTGCCCAAGAGTGGTATATAGGTGCTTCTGCAATTGCTAAAAGTGCATAAGAATGTAGCTATCATGTTTGTGCATGTGTGTTCAAAATGGTTTGTACAAAATGAAACGTTTTTTTTATTATTTAGTAATAGGTTTAAATTCCATTTGGGAAAGAATTAGTGTTATGTTTAAATTTTTGTTGGTGAAAGGTATATACAGTCTGACATCTTGCAGGTAAACCTCTCGCAATTGAAAGTTTATTACATGGATAATGATGGGGGAAATCCACATACAACTAAAGTACATCCAGAAGTACTTGGAGCTCAGAAAAAGGTACATCCAACTCATGCTATAAATGGTATAGTTTGTAATTAGTGGTTGAAATAAAAAAAACAACAAAAAATCTAGTAGAAATTTCCGGTTCCTTCTTAACATTCTAGATCATACAAGACTTTCTGTAAATAAATGATAGATAATGGAGTCAACAGTTCTCTGTTTCCTAGCTACGCATGTAACTTGTTACAGTACATGTGTAACTCTTTCTTTGACATAGGCACGTATGTCCCCTTCTAGAACTTGTATTTCACAGAGTTTGTATTTTACAACACCACCGTGAAGAATTAGTTTTACACCTCAAAGTTTACTAGTTTCAAGTTTCAGATACAAAAAAAGTGGTGTTAAAATTTCCTAATTTATTTTGTTATTATGTATTTATAGATGTGCCAATGAATGAGTTAAATGCTTATTGAATAGGATTTCTAATTCATTCAATTAAATAACTAAGTGTTGGGAAAATTATTTAATTTGTTACGAGTCTCGAGTGAGTTTTTTTTCATTAAGAAAGAACACACTATGTTTTTTGTTTTTTTTAGATTGAAGTTTTTGTTGTAAATGTTCACATTTTTCATAACTTGTATATGTATTTGTACTGTACACTACAAGAGCAAAATTAGGGAATTATATTGACCTAAAAATGTTTAGCTGAAAAAATTTTTAATATGCAGAAAATTTGTATGCATATAATTTGCTTTTGAAATGTTACTGGTAACAGTTACTGACAAAAATATGTCATCAATTTGACCATGGTTAAGAAAGCTCCACCTTTCACAAGTACACAGGTTATAAGATTTTGTGTTTAATAGAATTTTTTTAACTTGGGTTTTCCCTAACATCATGGTGACAGTTATTTTTGTCGAGAGAGAGAATCATATTTCTCATCATTTCATCAGTACCAAAGGTTATAGAGCTCTGATGTGTATTGATGGAGACTGGAGAAGGTTTTCATGTAAGTCTGTGGAGTTCCATACACGTGATTATTATGAATTCCCTCAGAATCTTTCAGTTTATTTATCTAATATTTTTGCCTTTTATTTATAGGTACTTCTTCATTTTGAAAACAACTTTGGCATCAAGCCTTTAAAGGTTTCCTTGATCAATATGAAGAGTGCATTTAAGATGTGGAATAGTAAAATGATGATGACAAAACATCCAAGTTTTGCATCAGAGATGGTGGAAGGAAATGGAGAACTCAATACCTATATGGAACTTTTGAAATGGTGCTTCAAGCTGTCGGATCATACGTTTCCTGCCATTGGATTGTCACTCTTTGAGAAGCTGCGAAGTTGTCAGAGTCCGGAAGAGACGCAGTATTTTGTGGAGATGTGCGATCGGCTTCAGCTAGAATTTCAAGAGTTGTTAGGAGATGATGGTGTTTTCCTCTATCCTCCACACCCAGAACCGGCACCTTGCCACAACGAACCAGTATTTAAGTTCTCTAACTGTGTTTATACGGCAGTGTTTAATATTCTCCAACTACCAGCTCTTCAGTGTCCCGTGGGGCTCAGCCAGGCAGGCGTCCCTCTGGGAGTTCAAGTAGTAGCTGCAAAATACAATGATCACTTAACTTTGGCATTTGCTACAGAAATTGAAAAGGCTTTTGGTGGATGGATCAATCCAAGCAATGTGGTGGTAAACTGATAATGGTTTTTAATTTAAACCCGATGACGGCACCATACACGCAGATCTACGAATGGCTAAATGCTTGCACTTTTACAACAGATAGGTAAAACATAGTAGTATTACGGCACAGAATATTAGGTTGGCTGATTACGTTTAGATAAATACCATTAATTAGCAGTATTGAGTTCCAGGATGATTATTTTTTTGTTTTTTTTAATTAGTATTCAGTAACAAATAACCTTTAAACATTCACTACTGCGACTAGTATGATGGCATGCAACGGTGAACTTTACCAAACTTCAAACTTGGTGCCATTGTTTACAGGGCTGAATGATTTCTCTGCTATAAAGAATGTTTTTACTGTAGGTGGTTTGATTAGTTATTGTATGTGAAAATCTGTGAATGAAGTCTTCATTAGCGAATTAATGAAATGTCTTAAGAAAAGTTTTCCATCAAATGAGAGAGTTGGCTATCAAGTAATTTAAATATTCGAGGAAAGCAGCTATTACTAAGACAAGTTTATTATAAGCGATTGGCCCATGCATTGCAGGAGTTATATAATATGCATTGATGGAATGATAGCATCAGTTTGACGGTCAGAGTAAATCCTACGTTTGAGCGTGTGGTACGTTATTCCTAAAACTAAAAATCCAATTAGATTAGAAAAAAGTTCCCGCAAAGGTAATGGGACTTTTCAAAAGTAAGTGGTATATCACTGAAACCATTGTATAGCTCAAGTTGTCAGTGTTTCCTTTGTACAATTATCCCCTCTATTGTTTACTATGGCTTCATGATTAGTGTGATGGACTAAATCCGTGGCTTGTATCCTTTTTTTTTTCTGTACAATTGCACTTTGGTATATTATAAGAGTGACAGTCAAATCCCACTTTTTTGATTAGAGTTGCCCAAGAGTTAGTGGTAGATGCTTTTGACTAGCTGCCTTCTTTCATTTCAAACTTAGGGATGACTAGTGTAGATAGTCGGTCATTGTGTAGATTTGCACAGTCATTTATTTTGATAGGGGAGTTTGAAAAATGAAATTAAAAAAAAAAAACGTTTTTCTCGTATTTTATTGCACATTTTCAAAGTGTAAGGAACAAGATCAGTACATTTAGTGTTCATTTTTTTTTAGGACTATGAAATAGTATAAACAGAGTGTACACACAGTTTTAAATACAAGTAGAGAGTCATTTTTTTTATGATAGTTTAGAACTTCGTTCATGCAAGGTGTATACAATTTTCAACGAAATCTTTATTAGAAGTATTGTATGCGACAACTTTAAACTAAAGAATTTTTTTTTCTGTACTTTGTGCTAGCATGTTCATGGGGAACTCTGTATGAAAATAAGTTTGTCTTTAATTGTTTTACGTACACTAAAAACATAGCCAATAGCGATGACCTAAAAAACTAGAACTCTTTAGAATATAACATAGCATAATACCATTTAAGAATGAGGGATGCTTTGGATCATCTAGATCATCCTATCCACTAAATTAAACTAAAAAAACTCAAAGCCAGCCCTTATCATTCATATATGTATCAAGCTTTCTCTTAAACTCCTTGAAATTTACTGCATTCACCACATCTGAAGGCCAACCACTCTATTAAAAAAAATAAAACTGTCTTAGCCAAAGATGACTCCTACCCTACCAACATTTATATTTGTGTCCAGCTAAAGATGACTCCTACCCTACCAACATTTATATTTGTGTCCAGCTAAAGATGACTCCTACCCTACCAACATTTATATTTGTGTCCCCTAGTCCTACTTCTTCTGACAAGTAAGTGTGAAATTCCCTTTACAATCTTAAACACCTCAACCAGATCCCCTCTAATGCTTCTTTTTTTCAAATGAAAATTTTAAAGATCTTTAGATGTCCTTATATGACAACCCCTCCTTCCCAAGCACCATTCTAGTAGTCCTCCTCTGAACCCTTTACAACAACTCTTTCTAAGGTAAGGAACCCAAGACTGAACACAATACTCGGAATGTGGCCTAACCAATGACCTATTCAAGGACATAACCTAAAATCTTATTTGCTCTACCACTAACAACAGCATATTGCTTGGATTGCTGAAGAGACTGATCAATTGGAACACCATAACGCAGTGTTTCTTTCATAACACTGTTTGGGTTATTCCCATCCAAATTATACTGATATTGATAATTCAAATAGTGATATCCCACATGCATTACCTTGCATTTATTTTCCAGTTTTTCCAAATAATCCAAATCCTCTTGTAAAGCAGTAATATTTCGACATCTTTACTCGAATTGTTTGGGAAATTCGGGAGGGGGGTCCATAGTTCTTGTCTCATTATCATAAAAGGTTGGTCCATGATTTGGGACCATAGATGCATTATAAGAGTGATAATCAAATTCCACTATTTAATAAAAAAAAAGTAGCCCAAGTATTTCCAGAGGGCGCTGTTGACTACTTACCTTATTTCCAATCTGTCAGTTCAAAATTAAGGAGAACTGTGGGCAAATATTCGTTCGTTTAGCATTGCGCAAAATTTCTGTCGAAATAAATCTGTCGAATAGTATTTCTCAAAAATCGACAGTTGTTCTTGTCAATAAGATACATGGTCAGACAGTAAATGGCACTTGAATCAAAATCAATACTTCATCACGTGTATCAGAAAATAGTGGCTCACGTCGAAGACAAGTTTGCTCAAGTTAAGTTGCATGTATTCGTGCACTCGTTTTGTTGAGTTTTATGAATTGCTTGATTTTTATCTACTGAACTCTGTCCTGATTATATCAAATCTGTTGTAACAGTTAAACAATAAATACGTTCGAATGTATTGAAATGTGTGGTGGTTTTTATATCAGTTTATGACATTCGTACAGAATGTGGTACACAACTTCATATATATACTTTCAGTGAAAATTCTTGGGGGGGGGGGTGAATCTGAATGTCCCTTTGTAACATTTCCACACGATTTAATATTTGTCCAATTTCAAACGGCCTGATTTATTCCACAGTTGTGAGGGTTTGTTTTGGTCAGGACCGTACGTAGAATGTTTAAAAGCGGGGTTTTAATTTGAGAGATCAAAAAAAGCCAACACGTATTGTGTGAAGCACAATCAGTATGCTAATACTATTGGTGGGGGGGGGGGGGGCGTGCTACTATTTCAAGCCAAAAAATGCTAATGCTTCATCAGAAGAATGTAGACTATCGTAGAAAACGTTAATTATTTACCCTAAGCAACTGCGCTATGACTACATAAGCATAATTTCCTTTCGTCACAAAAATAGGGAGTTCGGC